TGAATATCAGTCAGTGTGAAAGAAATGGTTTTACCACTTTGCATTGCACAATTGAGTGCAAAAGCTTTTTAAATCTTTGATATGCCACAATAACATTGTCAACGTAATGTTAGATATTGTATGTTTTGTTTCCTGATCGTTTTTTTCGAACGGGAAGTTTAGTCCTAACGTGATTTGCATATATTAAACTTTTGCTGTGTTCTTACGCAACAAAAGTACCATTTCAGTTCTAAAGAATCTATCCTGAGCTATACGTTCGGTAGATTACTTTTTTTTTAGTTTCACTACATTTAATAGTTTTTTTTTTTTTTTTTTTTTTTTTTTTTTTTTTTTTTTTTTTTTTTTTTTTTTTTTTTTTTTTTTTTTTATATCACTCGTTTTGTCCATTTTTGTCCGTTTTCAGTGTGCTTTTTAGTGTTTTTTTAAAAAGGTCTTAAGCTCTTGCAAGCATCTATAACATAGTTTGCTTCAACACCGTCATGAAAAACTCATGCAAACGTCCGGGATGCCGTTTTGCTGTCACAACTGGCATGCAGTGCGACAACTGCAAAGGTTGGTTCCACGAAGCATGCACAAATCTGATAGCAACTGCTTACAACAGACTCAGCAAGTCAGACCAAAAGTGGGTATGTGTCACGTGCAACACGGGCGCAGTAGTCTTGCTGAGTAACATCATTGTCCTACTGACAGGTCTTCGGAACAAGCTGTCAGTTAACTTGGAATACGACAGTAAAAAAACCGATATACAAACAAGAGCGCGCAACGGACTCAAAAATAGGGATGTCGATAGGTATACCATCGATGGAGCATCCATCAACACTAATGACGACGTGTCGAGGCTCAGTACCATCATTACGTCGACGGTACTAGACTCCCTAGGCAAACTCGAGTCTCCCAGCTCAGGGTCCCTGAACACAACAGTGGTTCCCAAAAACCCTGCAGGTGACTCGACCCACATTAAGAGAGACCAAAAGAACCAGGCATCACCGCCTAAGCCGAGCAACCCAAGTGTTGCTGCACGGAAAATAACTGGTGATTTGGTCGCACAGTCTACCCCCAAGACTGTTCGTCCGGTCAATAAAGAGCCCAAGATTCATGAACGCACACTGACCTCAAAACAACAAGTCATTAAACCTGAACCCATCGTGAAACCTGGTAAATTAACAACAGTTCGTGACGATTCTCTCATTATCATGAACCTCGTCGACAATCCTGACCTTCCTCTCAGTCTGCAGGATAAAAACGACAGGATGCTGTGGGGTGAATTGAACAAGAAGCTCGAACTTCCTAGAATAGAGCCTTTGACGGTCACCCGGCTCACTCGAGGAAATGATTCTAAGCATCTAAATCACCCGAGGCTTCTCCGAGTAACACTTAAGGCTGCTACCGACGTAGAGGACGTCTTGCTAGCAAGCCACTTGCTGAAATCAGATGGTAACGTAAGAATACTGCCCGACATACCGTACTCTGAGCGCAGTATCATACGAAACGTCCCTAAAGAATCTCGCGAGAAGTTTTTCCGCGGAAGAAACATAATTGTGCAAGGTATACCGGAAAATGCAGAGCCTACTCAATCAAATTCTGACATCAGGGAATGGAAATTCATCAAACAGTCCTTGAGGCTCAAACACATACTGACTCAGCATGTGACGAGACTAGCCAAGAAGGACGGTGATCTTAGACCCCGTCTAATGAAGATAACCTTCCCATCTTCCCACATGGCGGCTGCAGTTCTGGAAGCATTTCGTGCTAATAGACGTCGATTGCCACCTGGAATCCACATGCACCCGGATAGGCCATACGAAGTCAGGACCAAGAACAAAGGCAAGTTGGAGCTGACCATTCCACTTGTGGACTGTCTAAACGATAAAAAAACGTGTAAAGGACAGGGCCTACCACCTCGGCAAACCTCATATAGGTGGGCTACCTGTCCATTCACATAAGGTTCATACAGAAAAACAGGACGAAGGTCACGCGTTCCAAATTGAAAGCATAAACTGCTTATACATGAACGCCGCGAGTCTACCAAACAAACTGGATGAACTACGTGAACTTAGCAACGCTAACAAGGCCCATCTGATAGGAATATCTGAAACCTGGATATCTTCTCAGTTCTCGGACCAAGAGTTAGCATTACCTGGGATGACTTTGTTCCGCAACGACAGAAAAATAGGAATTGGGGGCAGAGTAGCCATATACATAAGCTCTTGCTTGGAGGTGCACCATGTTCACAACCTTGAGTTTAACAATCTTGAGGAATCCATATGGTGCTCTGTAAGGTTGTCTAGTACTTCCAGGTGTCTAGTCGGAGTCATTTACAGGAAGCCAACTGCCGACACCGAGTACGATAGTCGTATGCTGGAAGGACTATCCCGCTCTATCCGTCTCGGTTTCACACACATCCTGATTCAAGGGGACTTTAATCTCCCTAGAGTCAACTTCGCGGAACACACGTACACTGGAGGCGACAACTCAACTGAAGCTCGGTTCTTCAACCTCATCGATAACTTGGGCTTATATGAAAATGTGAGGTCGGCAACTCGTTGGAGAAACAGTCAGACACCATCGCGCTTAGATTGTGTGTTCACTAACGAAGAATTCCTAGTTGACAACCTCTCAATCCTGGCTCCTCTGGGAAAGAGCGATCATGCCGTCATAGCCTTCAGTTTTGTCATCAAAACTAAGCTAAGGTATCCCAACAATAATTTGCGTTGAAATTTTAAACGGCTGAATGTGCCAGCTCTACATGACTATCTACAACAGGTGGTTTGGGATGTTCACCCTCAACTCGATGTGGATGGTCATTGGGACTTCTTACTGCACACGCTCTTATGTGCTACAGACCATTCAGTTCCTCAAACGGTTCCCAAAAGCTGCAAGCCACCTACAGTAATCAAGAACCGTACCCTTCGCCTGCTAAGCCGCAAAAGACACTGTTGGGCGGAATATAAACGAACTAATAACGATGGAGCGTATAGGCAATATAAACATATCAGGAACATATGCACGAAGGCTATAAGAGAAGACAGGCTTCAGTACCAAACAAAGCTTATGGACAAATTCGCCTCTAACCCTAGAAGCCTATTCCGTTACGCAGCCTCTCTTCGTCAAGCCAAAACAGGAATTTCTCAACTGCTAGGTCTTAACGGCCCGACCAACAATGATGGCGACGCCGCTAACCTTCTGGCGGCACATTACTCTCAAACATTTCAACCGGCTGACATCAACTTTATTGACGACAGTTTCATCTCCAACTCCACAGGACTTTCTGAAGTGGACCTAAGCGCCGACTTGGTGTTCCGGAAATTGCAGCACTTAAGACTTGACACTTCTCCTGGCCCGGATATGGTTCATCCTGCCATACTGAGGGAGGCAGCCTCAATCCTGGCAACGCCGCTTAGCGTGATGTTTTCACACTCGCTTAGACGAGGCAAATTACCGGAAAATTGGAAGTTGGCTCACATCACACCAATTTTCAAAGGTGGTCGACGCAATGAACCTTCAAGTTATCGGCCGGTGGCTCTTCTGTCATTACCTTCAAAACTCATGTAGTCCCTGATATGCGACGGTTTAAACGATTATCTACTGTCCTTAAATTTCTTCTCACCCCAACAGCATGGTTTCAGGAAGGGTTACTCTTGTATAACCAACCTGCTGACTGCGGTGGACAGATGGACAAGCATCCTCGATTGCAAGGGAAAGGTTGACGTCATTTACCTTGATTTCTCAAAAGCTTTTGATAAGGTTAACCACTTGTGTCTTATCAACAAGCTCAAACGACTAGGTATCAAACCACCTCTAATCGATTGGCTTACTTCATACCTAAAAAATCGACACTTTAAGGTTAGGGTTAATTTCACTTTATCTCAGGCTATGGAATGTCCTAGTGGGGTCTCCCAGGGCTCAGTACTAGGGCCTCTTCTCTTCTTGATCTACATAAATGATCATCCCCAACAGGTAACGTCAGACTCATGACTTTTTGCCGACGACGTGAAACTTTGGAGAGAGATACGCAACCAAGACGATACACAGGCACTTCAGGAGGATCTGACTTGACTTCAAAGTTGGGCAGACGATAACGGACTTACCTTTAACACTTCAAAGTGTAAAGTAGTCCATCTGCGACATGTCGCAAACTACAGTTACAGCTTAGGAAACTCCTCTCTAGTAGTATCCCAAGTCGAAAAAGATTTAGGAGTCTTGGTGCCCCATGACTTAAAGTCTTACGCTAACTGTGACAAAAATGCCTTCCGAGCAAACCTTGCACTGGTAACGTTGAGGCGCATTTTTGGCCAGTTTGACGGAATAACTTTCCACACAATCTTCAATAGTTTCATCCGTCCCCATTTAGAGTACGGAAACATAGTACTCCCCCCTCACTCCAAAAGGACAAGGCAACTTTGGAGCGTATCCAACGGCGAGCCACGAAATCAGTTCTAGGACTCAAATCTAAGCCTTACGAAGAACGCCTCCGTTCACTAGACCTTTACCCACTAGAATATAGGCGTCTTAGAGGTGATTTATTAATGGCTTATAGTATTCTTAACACTTCTGGACATCCTCTTAAACACCTACTTAAGCTTAGTTCGAATAATAACCTAAGGGGTAACACCCAGAAACTGGAAACACAACATAGCAAGACGGAATGTAGACACAACTTCTACTCCTTAAGAGTTGTCAAAAGCTGGAACTCGCTGCCGGCCGAGCTAGTCCAAGCGACTTCTCAGGAGTCCTTCAAGAGGCAACTTGATCTATTCTTAAGGACCAAGGACAGCATCACACTATGATTTACCAATTTCTTTTCCTCTTTTATTGTTAACATACCTAGGTTCCTGCCTGGAGGATTTGGTGATCCCCTGCTACTAGACACGGAAGCCTGTTAAGCGAAAGCTTCTTCTATTCCGTCCACAACCATTTGAACCATTTGAACCATTTTGTTTCACTCGCTGAAAATCGGAGGGATTTGAAAGTTCTTTATGTTACTGCGCTAGGTTGATGTGATGTTCTCGCGCTGTGGAAGTATCAAGAAGTCAAGCTCACATAAAATATCATGCGAAGGATCAACCTCAGCAAGTTTTAACCAGTTTATTTATTTTCTCTTTAAAGGATATAGAAGGTTACAAATTCTCGTATGTACGATACATCTGTGTAATTATTGGTTGTATCCTAAGTGGTGGACTTCTACGGTTACTGTTTCACTGGTTTCCCCATTGGATGCTATGGTGTACACATAAAGTCTGTGATCTCAACGAAGCGAACAAAGTCAAGATAAAGGTTTGGGTACTTTTATTTTCAAAATGTTCTCTTAATTTTAATAGGATATTTCTGGTATCTACATCCATAAAGTTCAATATCCTACACGAGGAAAGTCAAGGTTAAGTTACTACTTGATTGATATTACTGTTGCAAATTATGGGCTGTGTGATAAGTAAAATGAACCTTTATTCTTTTTAATCAAGGTCACAATATGACAATTCGACAACGGACGGTTTTCTTGAAAACCAAACTGAACGCCCATATATCATACATAAAAAGCTAAAGTACATCTGGAACTTTGAGTCTGAAAATTTCGAGCTACTACAGTGAGTACAGTGCTTTTATAAACCGAAATATGTAAAATTTATATTTCTAAAGCAAGTAAACTACTTTGTAACTAATATTACATGTCAAAGTCTCTATAGTGTCGAATTAATGGTACTGTTAGTGTTTTGTGAGGTAAAATAGTGTTTGACGTTCTTCCACCTTCATATGTGTTCCGCACGTAGTGTAGGATATTTGTGTACCAAAAGTATTTTAGTCGCCTTTCCAAACGTTCCGTTTTGTAGTTTTACTAGATAAAGCATGAGTTGAACAGAGTACATATCACTACTTGAGAATCACACTTATTTGCACATAGTTTTATTTGTTTGAAATCCCAGGGTTTAGTTTTGATGAAACAATCAGACTATGATTATGTACACTTTTCAAGAAATAAATTATACCTCGTTTTGTTTTATACAACTAGTTGAATTCTCCTGAAATATTGTTGAATTTTCTTTAGAAACTGGGATGAGCGTCCTTACGATGAAGTATTAAATGCACCCACCTTAACTACGGATCTAATTGAAACTCGTCGAAACTTGTATGGAATTAATAAGATAGATGTCAGTCTTACACCCATAATGAGGCTTGTTTTGAATGGAGTACGTTAATGATTTTAGTACAAATTTATGTTTTTTTGGTTTTTATAGTATATAAAAAATAAGTGATAAATTATCCTGAATCTGGTATCAACTTAAAATGAATACTTCATAAATATCACCTTAAGAAGACATCTGTGTATATTTCTAATCTACAAAACACATTTGTGGCTGTTAGTGTATAAAAAAAGCCGTCAAGATGTAAATCTGAACTAATATACATATGAATACACAACTTTTCAATAACCAAGCAGTATTCAAACCAAAGTAATATCGAACAAGTCTTATGTTCATGGGGTTACTTCATACAGCTAATTACAAAATTACATTTTTGGTGCAAGTCAGTATTAATTATGTACAAGCATCTGTTTATTTATGAACAAACCAGATTCGTACACACAAAATCAAGAAAAACATATCAAAGAGACTTGTCCGTGAGACAAACTGGTGACTTGAGGTCGTTTGCTTACAGTGATTCGCGTACCCAGCTCATGTATGATTTACAAATATAGTATGCTAGACGGAACTTAACTAGCGTTTAGGGTTTTCTGATAGAATTTATTTCTAGAACATCATCTTTGTGAACTCGTGGTCATTTATTACAGTCAACTTGTTTTACTTTAATTCCAGTGTCTCACCCCGTTTCACTGCTTTCAAGTGTTCAGCTGTGTAATATGGTTTTGTGTCGAGTACGAAATATATGCAACGTGTATTGCTGTGTTCTCTGTAACATCACTTATTTTTCAGGTTTACGAGCTTCGCAAGGTAAGGAAGTTTACTCATGTCGCATTCAACATTTTCACCGCAAAAATACCAAGCTAACCAAATCAAGGTTATATTATTTAAATGTGGTTTTACTAATCAAAAACATTGTTTTCAAATTGTTTAGTGTCCTTGTTATATATTGCTACGATATCACATAAAGCAAAAAACAGGGCTTACCTGTTGGTTAAAATACATAGAACTCATTTGATTAAAGCAAAGAGTTTTACTTCGTTTGAGGCTAAACCTAATGTACGAGGGGCGGTTATAGCATGTGGAATACACAGCTAAACTAGCTGTTGCAGTTCCCTGTGCTGGGGCTCATCGGTGAACATTCGATCATTTAGAACATTAGGCTATAGGAAATTCTATAGTTTACTGAATTGACATTTTTGAAGATATACAAAGCCAAATTATAAATAATGTAATTATCTCAATGTAGACATAAACAGATAAGTAGAAATAATGTAGCAACGCAAACAAATCTGTAGAACGCCGTAAACTAAGAGTTAACTGTTTCTGGTCTATGAGGAGAGGTAACTACAATTAGATTGTAAGAGGGTAAAAAGATCCCTAATTCCTATAAGATCTCATAGTTTAACGTTTACTTCATCGTACTCATAACCAGCTACTCCTACCTCAACGCGCATTAGGTTAGTTTGACGAAAGACCGGAAGGACTACGCAAATCAATTGTTAATATCTGGAATGAGCAGCGCCTGTAGTTGCAGATCTATCGATACAAGAGTTATAATATTTGAAGATCACAGTATCTCGTCTACATTTATTCTTTGCCTCACTTAACCTCTGGCCTGCACGCTTCCCATTTTTTTATGAAATTCGTTTCTTTTGGACTGATCTTTTATGTTTTCTTTACTACTGCAACCAAAATTATTTTGGCTCTTTTGTTTCTCTCTTCGTTAATTATTATTTCTTACTTGCCAGTGCTGGGTGTTGTGACGTGGATCAATATACCTTTGTAACAGGTTCCATACTGTCTAAGACTAACTGCTGAAGTATATACTCAGGTCACTTACGTTGTTCAGATTTCGACTTTTCGTTTTAGCTACGTTATTGCACGATAGCTCATGTTTCCATTTTTATGGACAACACATGTATAGCCTAGCTAGGAGATTCTAAAACGATAGTTTCAGTAAACCGACACACCTGTGAAAAAGTCTCTTAGTGGTGTTGACTGTTGCCATGATCCTAGGAAACTACATATATACATATTAAAAACTCGGATGTACTTCATCTTTTATTATTTTAACCCCGTTTCATAATCATGTTATTTTTAAGAAGATTAAATTATTGTACGTTGTGCATTTTCAAAGAATATCAGTAGTCCTTACATTTTATCAAATAAACCAATCCATACGTAAAATTTAATTTATGGAATTTTAATTTTTCCATTTCACATGTAACTTCTGTTAAAATGTAGACTAAAATTAATTCCTTCAATTTCCTAAGCCACTCAAGACACTTAACCAGTTTTATTAATCTATCGTATTTCCATTCTCATTTGTCATTTCCGGGTTCAATCAAATCGGTGTATTATTTTATATAGTACTTTTAACCTGAAGTTGAGTCAAGGGCATCTGAAGACTCCTTTCATGTCATTAAGTTAGCCTTTGCAGCCATATTCCATTCAATTGAACTAGTAATTCATCTTGTTATTGACTGTTTGTTAACATTAGCAACACCTAATTTTATTGGTTTTTGAATTCATCACATGCAATAAATTGGTTGTCGGTTTTAGGAGTCAACTAAACAAGACTCAAATAAATAAAAATGATTATTTATGTATGTAATGATCGGTAATTAATACTAGTTAGCTATGTAAATAGTTCATGCTTATTTTGGAAATTTTCCTGTGCATCTTTTAACATTACATTGATGCAACAACCACTTATCTATGTCAAGTGGCCAAAACTAAGTTCAGATGACAATCATACCACTTATTTTTTTGTAAACTGAATTTGTACCGACATCCCGATTGATTTGTGTAATGTAACACTGGACAATTATTTTCTGAATGAGGAAGCTGTCACCGAACGTTTCTAACTCAATAAAACATTTAATCAGGACTTTGAGATTAATGGTTCTGCAGAGGTACACACAATACGAAACACATTTTTACGTCAACTGGTTTTGATTATTAAACTCGTTAAATGGATATGTTTAGAAATTGGCATCAATTTATTCTTTATCCAATAACTTAGAATGAACGAGCTTTAAAGAAAACTGTATGCATTTCGTCTAAAGTTACTGTATGCAGACGTCGTGACGGGGAAGATGGTAAGTTTGAGCGAATTTCGAAATTTTATTTTTGATATCAAGATTTAAATACATCTTTAATGTACTTGTAATCGACTTAGTTTCTCTAAAACTCTTGAGGTACACAATCGTTATCTTTGTTTGATGTCCTCTCAATCCAAAGACATTTTTGGTATTGCACGTGGTAGTTTCGCTAGCACTGCATGTACAATATGTTTCCTAGTATACTGATCGAGATGATAGGCTTTGTAGTTTATTCCACTGCTACTCACCATCTGTCTCTACTTATAATGCATGTAACTTAAGGTAGTACCGAGGCAGTGTGCACATTGCACAAGCTAATGTCTATCTGGACTCAGTCGCTAAGTGAATAGTGCGATTGCATTTGAAGCGAACAGTTCTAGGCTTGAGTTCCGGAGTGCACATCAACTCTGGGATACAGGTACAGCTGACAAAACGCGAGTTCTGGATTTCATTACTAGCCACCACCCATCTGCTTATAGTGTAATTTATCTTACCATAATCTGGTAACTAGTGTGCGTATTTCATGCATATACACAAAACAAGGTTGAATATTGAATCTAATTTAGAATTTGCTGATTTTTACACTAAGCAAATTTTAAAAAGAAGTTTGTGAATTTTAAAAATATATTTTCTTATGTTCAGGGAAGTTACACAAAAGTAATCATGCCGAAATTGTACATTGATTTGCAGATCTTAAAGTTTTTTGGTTATTTTTAATTAAACAAACCACTGAAGGTGGTGAAGTGTTTAACTCTAGATTGTTTATTTGTTCCGAAATGTGAGTTGTCATACGCTACACATTTATGCAGGTAGATAGAATTTGTCACGGATCCATCAGTTTTAGTAACCAATAACTACATCTCTATTTACTATCTAGAGAACAGCATCTTTCGTTCAGAAATTTAGCTATTAAGAAAGTCTTGTTTATTGAGTCTAATAATTACTTGTCGCTTTCAATTAAAAATAATTTCATAGATTATATGAAGTCTAGCCAGATATACTTTCTATGGAGCCGTATTGAGTGGTTGCACGTTTGATGTTTCATATGGTATTATTTCAACACTTTGACGACTTAAACCTTTTTGATCTAGTAAAAAATGTCTAACTCCACTATAGACTGGATGCAAAACCTAAATAAACTAGAAAGGAATTCTTCTACAAGTTTTCCTATCCTATGGACCATCTGGTAAATTGTTTTAGCTTTCATTCAGCCGAACGTATTTTCCTCTTTAATTCGTATAAAGTTTTTTTAAAATTGGGTTTAAATATACTGATGTGAAGCTGGGTTCATTAAAGTTGAAGTATTCACTCACTTAGCAGTGAATTTAGAAATACAGATATGAAGGTTTTTGCTTTTGTTTTTCAGACATTGAATAGTATATAAACTATTCCACCAACTCACGTTTTCAATCATTTTGGGTT